AGCATCGAGTATTAAGTCGCCATATTGGTGTTCGATGCTTAATATTCGATGCTCATTGGTCCATACGATCTTATGCTATGCATATGCAGTTATGTCAATTGTGTGCGATAGCCCTTAAGGCCATCACACACAAAATTACATAGCGCATATCTTATGCATAGCATAAGATAGTATGGACCAATGAGCATCGAATATTAAGTATCAATCATCAATATGGCGACTTAATATTCAATGCTCATTGGTTCATATGATCTTATGCTATGCATATGCGTCTATGTAATTTTGTGTGTGATGGCCCTTAGGGCTATCGCACACAAATTGACATAACTGCATATGCATAGCATAAGACCGTATGTACCAATGAGCATCGAGTATTAAGTCGCCATATTGGTGTTCGATGCTTAATATTCGATGCTCATTGGTCCATACGATCTTATGCTATGCATATGCAGTTATATCAATTTGTGTGCGATAGCTCTTACTCCCGTCCGTATCATATCGCAATTCGGAACAAGGAATGGCGTATGGAGCAAGTCGTACAAACATCAAGTAGTCAGATATAATAAAACATAATTTGAAATAATTCAATTGTGGTACGTATTAACGATAGAAGGAAATGTATTTAAAGTATATAATCTTATATAATTTGTAATTCAATTCAATTTTTTATGTTAAAGATTGTTTTTACTGAGGTAATATTTGGTATATTATCTGTGATCACATTTATTTATTTTTTATAATAGAATTTCAATTTGATTCATTATCTAACCTTTAATTCTATAGGAATAAGAGCAGGTCCATTTTTATATACTTAACTTAATAATAACGATCTTTAATATAAAAAAATTGAATTAAATTACAAATTATATAAGATAAACTTTAAATAAATTGCCTTCTATCGTTAATATGTCAACTGTCGGATCGGTAGACGTCGTTGCAGCTTTTTTATACCATAGAAAAGCTGCGCAACGACGCCTACCGATCCAACAGTTGTCGGTAAGCGTGTGCGGAATAGTACTCCTGTAGCTCTATTCTATAACTCATTATTGGAGTTAACGACAATTTCGTTATCGTTACGCAGTTTTTGTAGAAAAGCTGTCGTTAACTCCAATAATGAGTTACAGAATAGAGCTACTGCAATGCGATTATGTAACTCGTTAAATGCAGTTAACGATAGATATCGTATCGTTGCACAGTTTTTCTACGGTATAGAAAAGCTGCGCAACGATAACGAAACTGTCGTTAACTGCATTGAACGAATTACATAATCGCACTTTGGGGGGCTATTCTGTATATGCGTACCTAGAGATCCTGTAATAAGAGATCGGGCACCATATGTCAACGTTTTGATTGGCTGCGTCTTATTTGGGATACACTTCCGGTTAGGATCATTAGCTGAATAACAACACAAGCAGTGGTCTGTTCTTTTCAGCTGCACTGGCTGCACTGGCTACACTGTTGAACTGGTGCAATAAGTTAAAGCGAGATAAGTATACTTCCGGTTTGGTGGTGTATATCAGTTAGACACGGGGCAATTGGACACAGTCCAATCACAAGTCGCTGTTCCAAGGGACCCTACAAATGTCTAATCATACGGTGCTGTGATTAGCTGTGTCCAAATGCACCGTGTCCAAGTGCACCGCTCCCTATCGATTCGACAATTGTCAGTAAGTGGTTATGGAATAGGGTTCCAGCAGTGCGATTATGTAACTCGTTAAATGCAGTTAACGACAGTTTCGTTATCGTTGCGCAGCTTTTGTATACCGTAGAAA